ATATATATAAAATTATTTGATATTTTAGTGGAAATCCCAAAACAAAATCGAAAGTATTTTCAAATCAATATAATAAAACCTTGTCTTCTTTCTTATTATCGTATTAGTTATTATAACCCACTAAACACTGGACATAGGACAGACATGCAGATCCCATTGGGTCCATTCTGGAAATTATACGATGTCCAAACTAGGTCCACAATTTGGACTTCCAACCACAACCCAACCTGAAGGTCAATATGACATTCACCTTTTGAAATTTGGACTTGGCAGTTTTTTATAGGTCATGTGAACATCTATAACAAGTGCAGGGAATATACACAATTAATAACATAACCCGGATTTTAAAAATGCATAAATAGTAAAAAATAAGTATTTATTCAATTTCTTTATTTTATTAAAATTTTATTTTATTTTATGAAAAAGTCAAAATTCATGTAAAATGAGTAAAAACATATGTGCATTGTTTAATATAAGCCAAAAGCCAAGCAACATATTTAAGTTATCTAAGTGATTTATATTTCATCTTTAACCTAAGAAGCAAAAGACTGTGGCAGGTCTGAAAACACCGGGAGTCCGATTTTCTCGCCGGCTCTAGTGGGCCTTGACTTCCCGATCAGCTATCGAGCTGGTGAATAACAGGTGTCTCCGAAAACATCAGAGCAGTTTTGCCAATATGTGATGTCTTGATAAATCGAACAGATATTTGAAGTTTACACAGCTACATTTTCATCTTTCGGCTGAGGACCAGGTGGAGTGCCCAACCCGGGTCAGAGACAAGTTCCTGCCCCAAGTGGAGGAGTTCAAGTATCTTGGGGTATTGTTTATGAGTGATGGGAGAAGGGAGCGGGAAATCGACAGACAGATTAGTGCTGCGGCCGCAGTGGTGCAGACGCTGTACCGGTCTGTTGTGGTGAAGAGAGAGCTGAGTGTAAAAGTGAAGTTCTCAATTTATCGGTCGATCTACATCCCTACCCTCACCTATGGTTATGAGCTGTGGGTAGCGACCGAAAGATCAAGATCACGGATACAAGTGGTGGAAATGGGCTTCCTCCGAAGGTTAGCTGGCATCTTCCTTAGAGATAGGGTGAGAAGTTCGGCCAATCAGGAGAAAAAGCAGGACCAGGATCAGTAGAGCCACTGCTCCTTCACATTGAAAGGAGCCAGTTGAGGTGGTTTGGGCATGTGACAAGGATGCCTCCTGGGCGCCTCCTGGGTGAGGTGTTCTGGGCATGGCCCACCGGAGGAGGCCCCGGGGCAGACTCAGGACACGCTGGAGAGATTATATCTCTCGACTGGCCTGGGAATGCCTGGGTGTTCCCCCGCACAAGCTGGAGGAGGTGGCTGGTGAGAGGGAGGTCTGGGCTTCTCTGCTTGGGCTGCTGCCCCCACAACCCAGCCCCGGATAAGCAGAAGAAAATGGATGGATGGATGGATATTCTCATCTGAAAATATCTTAAAAGTTCATTTTGTGACCCAGAAAGAGTAATAATACAGCTAAGTAGCTGACACCATATTCGGAAATTGGAACTGGCTGAGCCGTGCTATGAATTCTGAAATAGGTTGGGCCATGAACCTGACCCATCCTTCAAATCCGGGGAAATGAAGGACGTGTTTGTCAGCGCAAACGCATTTGTTGACGCATTTTTTTGCCCTTTTACTGAAAAGACTTTAGTTTGGAGATCTTATTGGATTGCTACATTCTCAAGTATTAGCATAGGCCTGCAAAGTAGGATGTATTTGTGCCAGCTTTATGTTTAGTTTTTGGGGCAGTAATTGTTTCTATTACCAGTGGTATACACTGTATGTGGGGATTCATTGTACAGTTAGTATATTGCTGTTTTTCGGTTAGCCCGAATATTAAAACATGCCATTTTATTATTTTGGCTAATTAAAGGA